CCCACGGGCCCGCGCCCGCCTCCCCCACGGAGCTGCAGCAGCACCAATGGCCAAAACTCAGGGCTTTGCGTTTGTTTCTCACCTCCTTCGTCTATCTTTTGCTGTTAGCTGAACACTTTCCAGGGTTAATCACTTTCCCAGTTGCCCGCTGACCCACCCTCCTGAGCCTGTCGGACACACACACAACCCAGCACACTCTCGTTGTTACTTTCGTGAGCTTCGTTCATACGTGAACTTCTTGAATACGGCCAAAGCTCCGTGATTTCCTCAGCTGCGTTTTAGCTCATCTCTTCCCTCATCAGACCCCAAAGCCACACCCTCCCACCGTCGACTGGACTCGGGCTGTCCCCTTTAGCTCCGTCCCGTCCCTGAAATTCCAGAGCGGCGCCAGGGGCGCGATGAAGCCATTTCTTCTTTTTTCCCAACAGCGAAACGACGGCCTCTTGTACCATTTACCGAGGAGTTCGACGTGTCCTGGAAGATCCGGGCACTTTATGAAACCGCAGCGGCCTCGTGGGGCCTGCGTAGGCCCCTCGCCCATGACCACCGGGCCCGGCGTAGGCGCTGCGCAGGAAAGCCCCCGGCTCCCATTTTGCTGGGGACCTGGCCACGGGACTGGGCTCCCCGGTTAACCCCTAGGGTGCCCTGTTGGAGCCTCTCCAGCTTTGAGATTTAAGTCACGCCTGTGGACAAGAACAGCACTGTGCCTCCTCCCCATCGAGTCATCAGTGTTCACTGCGGTTTTCACGTCCATCCCGATGTGACAGATGCATCTCTTCCTCTCTGCTTTCTGAGGAGACTGTGGGTGACGCGGGCAGGGCTGGGCCAGAGGGTCACAGTCGCGCTGTGACGTGGTTTTGAGTTAACAAAGCTCCTGTGATAGTCACCACCTGCATCTTTTTCCAAACGAACAACTGTGAACCTCCCCTTGCCCACCCCCTATGGGCACATTTATCAAATAATTCGACAAACAGTGACTGAGCACCTACTATGTGCTGATACTATGGTAAGGCCAAGAGCACAAGAGGGGAGAATAGCTCTCCTCCTGCCCTCGTGGGATCTGTCATCTAACTGCACACGTGAATAAATGAGACTTTACTCTAAAAGCAGGAGACAACTTGAAAAGCTTTTAAACAGAGCAGCACAGGTTAAATCAGGCTTGTGACTCACTGAGATTAGGTCACGGGCCTTCGGGCCACAGTAAACGCATGTCCAGCCGCCTCCTGGGACCGGCCCCTGTGCTGACTGAGGTTTTTGGCAAATGACTCATGCCTGTCCCCACTGCACCCTGGCCCCCCGACACGCTGAGTGGCTCCCATCACCCCTGCCAACCTGGGACTATTCCGTTTCCACCCAGGGACCCTTGGCAAATAAGTACAGGTGCTACTGACGGAGAATCTCTGCCTCTGTGAGTTTTGCAGAAAAACATCTTCAAAAACCTTGAGAGAGTTGGCTCCATCTCAGGCCACGTGCTGTTCCTGGAATCTGCCTGGCACCTGCCTGCCTCCGAGCTCTGCCCCATGCCGTCCCCTCCACCTGCAAACCTGGCCACCTCCCCGAGCCCGGTCGCAGCTCTCCCTCCACGGTGGGGCCTGACCCGGACGCCACCCCTCCTGGGCGGCGACAGCTGATCGCAGGGGAGAGGATAATGGATTTCTCTCCCTCCGACACGCTCCTATTATTCTGTCAGTCACTTGGCATTATAGCTTTTTTGTTGACATGTTTCCAGAATCCCACATGTAAAACACTGAGCTCCTGCCCTGGCTGGTGTGGCCCAGTGGTTAGAGCATCGGCCTGCAGACCCAAGGGTCTCGGGTTCGAGTCCCGGTCAAGGGCAGGTTCCTGGGCTGGAGGTTCATTCCCAGGAACCTGTAGGGCACGTGCTGGAAGCAACCAATCGATGTTTCTCTCTCTCCCTCTCTCCCTCCCTTCCACTCTCAAAAAATCAATGGGAAAAAAATCCCCAGGTGAATATTAACAAAAAATAAAGAGCTCCTGCTGCATTTTCTAAAGGCAACCAACAAAAACAAACAAAGCTCCAGGCCCAGTTCACTACACTGTTCAATGCTTTTAGCCACTAAATTATTTGATTGTGTTTATCGAGTCTAAACATCACCAAGAGCACGTGTGTGTGTGATGTAAGCAAACGGTGTAAACAGAGCAGCTCCGCGTGTAATGAACGCTGGTGGAGGTGCCCGCACCCGCGTGCTCGCCGCGCCCCGCGCCCCACAGGCGACTCCCGCCAGGTGACAGTGCTTTTCCCATCGGTTCAGCTCTACTTTCCGGGAAGCAGAAATCCGGGTGTTTGCTAGAGCGGCAACTGTCACCGAACTCAGCCGACGGCGGTCGTCTCTTCTTCGCACCCGGTTCCCCCACAATTCACCCGGCGTTGTTCCTGATGACAAGTTTCCTGCACTAATTAGGCGGCCGTCCCTGCGGACGGGCCTCTCCCCCTCCCGCGGCTCCCCCTTCGCCGTCCTTGCTGTGGTTTTGGCCTTCGGTTCTTTCCTCCTTTGTCTTCCTGCCTGTCTCTGGCTTTTCCACTGGATGGATACCAGAAGTACGGAAAATCACTGTAGTCCCCTGAATAAACGTCGGTGCGCGCTTAATGGGTCCCAATTATTATAATGGGCGTGCCAGGGACGGGCTGACAAGGGCGGTCGTTTTGGGGAGGGGGTGGACTGTAACGAAAAACAGGCTCATTCATAAGTTCTGCACTGACCTTTCCACAATATTTTGTGCACCTTATGTTTAATTTACGACTGTTTTCAGTACCTTTAACTTCCTGAGAACATCTAATTGCGTTGCATGTGGATACCAATTCTCCATTGTGTGCTCGGGGTTCTTCCCCCCTCTCTTTTCTTTTATCAGTAAAGACATTAACAATAAAACAGGCTCCTTTGCTCCAGCTGGTAATTTCTCCGCACTAGTAATATATTATTCCTCTTTCCGTGACATCATAATCATCTATGCAGAAGTACCATGTATCTTTGTGTAGAAGCTACTGTTTCCATTAAATTTAATTACCTCCCCCTGTGGTTTTAAATAGAAGTGGCTTCAAAATGAGGGCAGCTTCGATTAAATTTAATTACTTTCCCCTGCTGCTTGCCTGGTGAAAGGGAGGCCGCTAAATGAAATCAGCTTCTAAACTAAAGTATATGGTAGCCGAGCACTGGCAATAACAAAACTGTCCCCGACTCCCCTTCCAAGAAACCTCCGAGGTCGACCCTTTCTCCTGTTTTAAATTCTGTGTGGCCTTGAGTTAAGACCCCAAAAAGAAAATGAGCATTAATAGGAGGAGATCTATTTTAAAAATCAATTGTAGTTCCCCAGGCCAGATAAAGGTAAATACGGCCGTTCTGTACAATGACAGCGAAATTACGGCCTCGGAGGCTCCGCTCACGCCTTTCAAGTGAGTATCGTGGGTTGTTGTTGGAGGCCGTGTTTTACACCTCACACATTTTTAATGTCTAGTAAAAAGTCTTCCTTCACACCGATCAGATGGATTTAAAGACTGCTTCCTAAAAGTTACTAAAAAGGCAGCGAGTGAGGGGAGGCGTTCAAAGAAATATTCACAAGCAGTGATGTTAAAATGTAAAAAGCAAAAACACCAGGCTCGTTATAAACTCACTGTCTTTGGGAAAAAGTTCATCTATAGCCTCCCTAATAGTGTGAAAATGCAAATCTGTTTTAAAACGCCATGAGATAATCCTACAAAACCCAATACGATATGAAATTTTAAGTACCTCCTTTTTAATTAAATATTAATTAGGAGGAAAGACTGCTCCGTGAAACTACCCCTGTACTGTTTACATTTTCACAAACAGGCAGGATGGAGATGAACACCATTTCCATTCAATCACGCGGTTTAGTATAAATATAAAACAAGACACCCCTTAAGCATTTTAAGTAACAAATTAAACATTTACATTTTTTACTGTGCACTGAGGCTTAACATTTATGCAGCTTCAAAACCAAAGTACAGCCTCCAGGGAAGTCTCTCCGCTGACAAATTAATACCTTAGAGAGCAGAGCTGAATGGTGGCGATGAACTCATTTGTTCCCCCAATAATGAAGGACTTTTTCTTTCCCACATCTGTGGCTGTTGCCATGGCGACCCAGACTTACCTCATTGCTTCTCGGAGGGCTCCTCGCTCACCCAGAGTCGTGTGCTTGATGTCATCAAAATTATTCTCCAGCTTCTCGCAATCCTGCAACATATTAAAAAATGCATCAATCCTCCGACGTCCGGAGATAAAATTATAGCTATGCAATTATGGGAAAATGTAATTGATTATATTGATTATGGGCTCATGAAAGATATGCACACCACTGTAATTGGGTGGGATTCATTAAAATTGACAGTGTGAATTCCACAGTAACCAAATAAAAACGTCGCAGGATACAGCTGTCACAGAAGTCTTTTTACCAATTTTCCAAAATTGGGAACATAGGAGAAATGAATAAAAATCAGTCTTCTAAATTAATCTGGAGGATATCAAAGCCAATTTAAATTCCAAAGAGAAAGTCAATAAAGTTTGAAATCACAATGAACCGTATATGATAAATATTTAATTCTAAATAAATTAGGATTTACTAAGATGAAAAGATAGAGCCCAGGCATGATATAATAAAAAATAAGTTCCAACATGTTGGAACCAAAATTTTATAAGATCTTTAATAACAATTGTATATATAATGTTTACAATTATATACATACACAGACACGCAGACCTTTTTAATAATTAAGTGACATTATATCAGGTTCTCAGCATTACTAGGCTACATTCTAAAATTTTTAAATTTTACTACAATTTTAACTTTTTTTAAAATTTAAAACTAACTTCATCTTATATGACCCTAGTATGTTTTAAAGACATTATGTATAGGGTTAAATTTTACACTAAAAAATTTATCCATATGAATTTTTGGCTCTTTAGACTTCATGGAGAATTTAGTAGTATTTAGGTAATAATTGAATTTAGTATTTTAGTTAATTTAACAAATACAAACTAAATTTAAAAAGTTTAAATATGAATGTATTCTTTGTATTTTCAAATTATAAACAATATTCTGGATTTTAGGAAAATTACAGAATTTATATTAATAATTTCCAAAGTCTAAGAATTAGTTTACTTAAAAGCTATGGTATACGTGCCACTCATTTTACCTTGATTTTTAAAAATCAGCCAAATTAAAACAAATATCCTTTCAACACATACTTATACACGTCTATAATACAAATCTTGAAAATTACCACACTATCTAAAATAAACTGAATTCTGATAACAGTCCTATTTTACACAGATAAACTGGAACTAGTATCTCATGCTGTTTGAATTACCTTTTCACTTTTTTAGTAGTGTCTTCTCAAGAAGAGAATTTCTGATTTTTAATGAGGCCCTATTTATTATTGCTTAAATTTATGGTTGGTGCTTTTTGTGTCCCATGTATCAAACTTTTGACTTCCTCAAAGTTATGGATATATTTTCCTATATTTTTCACAAAGCTCTATTATTTTACATTTCACATTTAAACGTGCAACCCATCTGGGACTGATATATTTGCATATGGTGTGAGTTAGAAAATCATGCCTACAGGTAATCAATAAAATCATTACTATTTATTGAAAAGACTTCCCTCATTGTAATTCAGAATCATCTTTTTCCATAAAGTAAGTCCCAGCACATATGGGGCCTGTCTCTAGGATTCACAATGGCAGACTGCTCCACTTCCTACACCTGTGCCAGTATCACATTATTTAAATTACTTATAGCCATAATAAATTAAAACTTCCACAAATAACTATGAAAAAGACAGATAATTCAATGGGAAGTGAGCAAAAGACTATATAAACACTACAGAAAAAAGACTATCCACTTTAGAAAACAAACAAACGTGCTCAACATCATGAGTCATGAGGAAGATGCCAATTTAGACAATGAATAACCACAACACACTTTGGAAATAACTGAAATGAAAAAGGCCACACAAAGTGGGCTTTTTGGTATAAAAAGCAGCTAAATCCATGCCGTTGAAACTGTAAATTCTTACAACCACTTTGTAAAAGTGATTTGGCAGCACTTTCAAAAGCTGAGCATCCCCACCCAGGAATACATTCAGAACAAAGGTGCAAGGTGTTCACCTAACAACCTGAGCAAGAAGGGTGACAGTATCACTACTCACAATAGCCCCCAACTGGAAACAAGTCGAGCGCACCTCAAGGTGGGATGTTCAAATAATGACATATTAATACAGTGGAAAATACATGGCAAAGAGAATAAACAAACGGTAGCCACATGCAGTTACACAGATGCATCTCGCAGACAGAGTATGGAGCACAGAAAGTGGCACAGAAAAGACCACCGAGCAAAATTATTCCACTTACACAAAGCTCAAAAACAGGCAGCTCCAGTGAATGATCAAAAAATGAAAATAAGGAAGCAAGTCCATTTATGAGCATAAGAATAAAATACTTCCAGATAAATTTAACAAAAGCATAAGATTTGTTTACTCAAAAAAATCAACCATCTCAAAAATTTTTTAAAAGGGTAAAACAAGTGGAAAGACATCCCATGTTCATGGATTAGAAGACGTGATATTGCTAAAGGGTACTACTTCCTAAATTGATCTAAGGATTCAAAGCAATTCCTGTCAAAATCCCAGCTGGCGTTTATTTTCGCAAATTTTAACAAGATGATCTCAAAATTCATATGAAATTGTAAGGGGCCAAGAAGAGTCAAAATATTCTTAAAAATAGAAGAGCAAATTTGAAGAACTCGTTTCCTGATTTAGTGCAACATATAACTGCATAAATATTTGCACACAAATGGTCATAGCGGTATTACTCATAAAAGACAAAAAGTAGGAAAAATCCAATAGTCAAGCAAATAATAAAAGAATAAAGAGATGGGATATACCGATACAATGAAATATTATTTGGCCATAAAGAAGGAAGTTCTGATCCATGCTGCAACTCAGATGAGACTTGGAAACTTTATGTGAAGTGAAAACGCCAGATACAAAAGGCCACATCATATGATTCCATTTCTATGAAATGTACAGTATATGTTAGCTACCAGCTAATACTAATGAAATAACACTTTATTATTTATTAAAATCTGTACCAAAAATCCAGTTCCGGTAATGAAGTCTAACTTACCCTGATTAAGCTTTGACGCTTTATAGTGACTTGACTTAAAGGACATTTATTAACGTCTCGACATATTATTGATGTCTCATTAACAGCAGACAATTATAAATGCAAAGATGAGTAAATTACTTGGGCTGAAAATGAATTACAAGCTTAGAAAAGTTGTAAGAAAAAATGTTCATCGATTGGGATTATTCATTCCAACTAATTTCCTATTTTATTCAAATTGTTGTCATAAAATGTATTCAAAGTACGTGATGTTATCTGTGGTAGAAATAGTACTCAAATTCAGAGTTTCTGATTCTAAATCTCATTCTTTTTATTCCCCAAATTTAACCACTAATGGAAACCAACGTGTATTTTCTCTGTGATCATATTAGATTTACTTTCTCTGCCATCAGCCCAACCCCAACATGAATCACTGCTAACTGTCCCACACTCAAGTCTTAAGGTAGAAGGTTTGGGTCTCCACGTGGAAAACAGCGCCTCTTCTTAATTTCATGCTTCCTCACAGAGTTTATAAGTCAGACGTGGGAACAGACATTTCTATTTAATTGCTATGGGCATATTTTTAATAAATCTCCAATTTTGGATATATACACTATAAACATACACAAACATTATGTGTGTGTGTGAGTGTGTCTATAAATAAAATCTGAGCTAGGTGGGAATCATTTTAATAGAAATAAAAATGTCCCTTGACAAGATAGCCTTATTTTGTATGGTTGGCTTTTAAGAAAATCTTAAAAACTTTGCATTTGTCAGCAATTAACAAAGCCAAATAACACAATATTTGAATCTGTTTTTTAAAAAAAACACAATTGTTTTGAGTTAGGGTACTCTTTTAAGACCCACAATCTATTGGAAATGTGAGATATAATCGTTAAAACCAATGCAATGGCCTGATAATTACACTACTGTAATTAAGAGAGAATTTTAAGATCTCAATTTAGCCACTTAAAGTTACTCCCTAGACTAGACCAATAATGCCCTTGGCAAAAGAAAGTCACAGATAACAAATATGTGAGGCTTCCTGCTACAACATTGGGACGGAGTAGCTCAGAATCGAAAGCAAACAGATGGAGCCCACCAAATCCTCTTACAGTCCCAGCATCCATGCCTGAAGTCTTCGTAAAAACTGTATATTAAATTGTAATAAACAAAAATTAAAAACCAATATTTTATTATCTCTTCTAATATATAAATCCAAAAATTGAATGTTAATCTGATCGATATTTGGTAAAGGTCATTGTACAGTAAAAATCCATGTGCAGACAACTTTTTCAAAGCAACTTTTGAGGAAATTTTACTTTTCCAGATTTAAATTTTCAAAATCGTTTCAAAATCTCGAAAGATTCCAGATGTTACTACACCCAAAAAAAAGCACTTCCCCAAAACCACCAAACAGGCCTAAAAAAATCACCTGTCCCTGGGGAGGCCTGGCGCCTCTTATTCTCAAGGGTCTCGCAGTGTCCTGGTGAGTGCAGCTGGTGAGGGAGCTGCGGCCTTCAGAGAAGGAGCACATCGGTGCATGTATTTTGCAGAAAAGATGGGAAGGGAGGAGGGGGGGCGAAGCAGAGGGAGGGACAGAAGGGGGGATGCATGAACCACTCACACTGGCAAGCTCAGGAGGGACATCAGCGCTCAGCAACGGCGCTGGACAGAGACGCAGGCCTCGGAGCCTGGACGCCCGAGCCAGCGGGAAAAGCAGACCACGGAAGGTGCTGAATTCTGTGCTCACCAGATATTCCCTCTGCTGCAACAGGCAAAGCCATCCCTACTTAATTAGGAGGAACCTGGAAATCTGCATTAGCGACAGTGGTCAATGTCGCCGTTTTTTGGCCCTTAAGGATGAATTCTAGGAAACTAGCCAACGTGGAGGGCTTACTCGGTGTCAGACACTTTTCTAGGAGCTTCTGCTATTTGATCTGCACAAGAACCAGAGATATCCGTACGTACCTTACAAACGAGGAAACAGGCACAGGGAGAGTGAGATAACTTGCCCAAGGTCACCTAGCTAGTAAGGGGCAAAGCAGGGATTCGAACCCAAGCAGTCTG